ATATATATATATATATATAATGGTAGTGTGCCATGGAGTCAATTCCAACTCATAGTGACCCTGTATAGGATTTTGATGCTGTAAATCTTGATGGGGACAGGAAGCCTCAGCTTTCTCCTGTAGAAAATTTGGTAGTTTCGAAATGCGGTATAGAATTTCCATGGAGCAGCTGTTGAGTTTGACCCGCTGACCTTGTGGTTCAAACTGATTTTGCAGTCTAGCACATTAGCCCACAGTGCCACACCAGGATTCCACACCAGTCTGATGGAGCTTCCAGCTGACTGCAGACACTTGGGTGAGGTGAAATTGACCAACAGACATACCACCATGTTATTCTCAGACGAAAATAGAGTCATTTGCAAGAGATTAGTTACTGTTAAGGTCACTAATTTAGAGAGGTTTGATTTGCAATAATAAGTCATTTAGACACTTGCCATTTGCTCCTTCTTAACAGGTTTAAATAAGGCTACATATATGTTGTAGTAGTTAAGTGTTGTCAAGTCATATTGACTCATATCATTCCTGTGTGGATGTGGAATATATATATATATATATATATATATATATATATATATATATATACACACACACACACATACAGAGAGAGAGAGCGATTGAGAGAGAGAGACAGACAAACAGATAGAGCAAAATCATCCAGGACTATAAGGAGCACCATGATACTGTAGAATAAAAACTGAATTGCAAGCCACAGGTGGATAGTTTGAGCCTACCATTCACTCCTCAGGAAAAAGTTGATAGTTGATACTTTCTGGTCCTACAAAGATTTACAGCATTGGAAACTCCACACAGGGATGCTATGAGTCAATATGATTTGGCAACACTTAATAACTACAACATATATGTAGCCTCATTTAACATGTTAAGAAGGAGCAAATGGTAAATGTGCAGCAGTCAGTTGGAAACTCCATCAGGCTGGGGAATCCAAAAAGATCTCTTTTACAAGTCTGAACCCAGTTGCCAGCTGTCAGTTGGACCTCTGGTCATTCGGTAGTCTATACTGTGAATCTTTACATACCACAAAGAAGGATAAAGACTGAGACGAAAATGCTTGTTAATGTGAAGATAATAAACTTGCACAGTGTCTCTCTGTGAAAGATAGTGTTGATTCAAAAAGTAGGAAAAATAAACTTCACGTTTTTATAGGAAAGCTAGAAAATATGGTACCTGGAGTCTTACTATATCTCAGTAATAGATTAAATTGCATTTCTTAGATTTAAAGTGATGTATATAGCTTGGTTTCAAAGTAAAAGACACTGGTAGTTGGTGGTTATGTGCTATGGAGTTGGTCCCAGCTCATAGCATCATTAAAGGAGCAGAAAGCCTCATCTTTCACTCATGGAAACTCTGGTAATTGAGAACTGCTGACCTTGAGATTAACAGCCCGATTAGTAACTACTATGCTAACAGACACAACTCAGCAATTAAAAAACATGCTTCCCACAGTTTACTAAGCAAAATTCTTTGTTCTTTCCTTTTACAGCCCAAGAAAGTGAAAGATCCTCTCATTAAGAAAAACAACACCTATGCTCCAACTGCAACCAGCTACACCCCTAATATGGCCCGGGGAGACCCTGGTTTAGCCACCATTGCTAAAAGTGCAACTATAGAACCGAAAGAAGTTAAGCCTGAAACAAAACCACCAGAACCCAAGAAAACCTTTAATAGTGTCAGCAAAATTGACCGACTGTCAAGAATAGCCTTCCCGCTACTATTTGGAATCTTTAATTTAGTCTATTGGGCGACATATTTAAACAGAGAGCCTCAGCTAAAAGCCCCTACTCCACATCAGTAGGTCTTTTAGTCACATTCTGTGTTGTTCAGTCCTCTGCACTTGGAATTGCTTTCTGTTCTTAAATGCAGCAATTCCCATCTGCTTTATTTCCTCTGTCTTAAATAAATTGAAGGTTTCCTATTTATACAATTCATACAAGAACAAGAGACCCCTGTCTGATAATACAGAGCAGAACAAAGTATATCACTGAGAGACAGGATTCTGAGAGAGGTAGCAGGGAAAAAAAATATTCCATCAGAAGGAGACAATAAGGAGATAGATGAAAGGAGAGGTAAGAAGGATCAAAGAGATGAGGAAAAGTAGAAGAAAAATACACTTAATATATTCCTTAGGTCATTTGTAAATATATATTTCCAAATACTCTTTAAAAAAAGATACTGTATATGTCAAAGTATTTTTATGTGAGGATTTTAAAAGAATAAATTATAAATGTTTAATGAAAAAAAGAGAAAAAATGTATTTCTTGCACAAACTATGGTGTGCTTACAAGTTTTTTCTTTGCAATGATGTATAGTGTTAAAATTCTGTTTACAATGCTAAAAAATACTCATATTTTTCTCTGTTTAAAAATGCCTAATACAATTATTTTGTTGTTAAATACTATTTTAAGATTCATGGATATTCCATATGCAACGGTTCAGTTTATCACTGTAGATTACCTTTATTCTAATGGACAGAAATGCTTTAACCTGGCTTCTTAACTATCATCTGAGCTTTTACCACTAGACGCCATAAGGAATCATTTTAACAAAGACATGCACTCAGTAGAAACTAAAAAAATAAAGATAAAATAAGGTTAAAAATGTTTTTTAAAAATTAAAAAGATTTCCTTTTCCACCCTATTTCTAGTTAGCACCTGGGTCCAATAATCACTTAATTCTTACTATGAAGATGTTTTCAGAGGGGCAAAATTATTTTGCAAGCTCAAGAATTGTTGAATGTACTCTTTTATATAACAGGACATTAAAAGCTTTAGATGAAAATTTATGACTAGAAAACAAAAATAGACTCTATAAATTATATATGTAAATATACAGCATGAGATTGTACATTTTTTAATGTTTTTTTGTTTTTTTTTTTTAAATTATGGTCTCAAAATATTGTGTAGGACTCACCGCTCTTAGCTGTCAGAATGTTGTTAAATGCCGTGGAAATACATTCAGAGCCTGCATTTAAGAACAGAACATCCCTTAGTTCTCAGATGGAACTTAAAAACATGAGCATAAAGCCACATGTAGAGAAGGCTGGTGTTAGTGTACAGTAGAACTGCTCATGTCATGCAGCATTTCTCTATTTTAGGCTATTGTAATATACAGAGAAAATGGAAAAACATTCATTAGAGCTATAAAATCAACTGTATAATACTGCTATACTTGCTGATACTGTTTCAATAAGTGTTGTAACATATGTAGCATTAAATATAAAAATACATGAAAGAATGTACAGGAAATAGCTTTTGAGTAATATTATTACATTTCATTTATATTGTAGCAATATATTTGTAGTATACTATGTAAGGGCTTTAAATACAAGAGGTTCATTAAGACTCCCTAGGAAAAATTCTGTTTCTTTCATTACTGCCCAGATGTTTTAGAGATAACTATTTATGAAGAAAGTATTTTTGAAGTCTCCTTTTGTCTGATAATTACACAGATTAAAAATTAGCATCCAGAATCCACAGGTCATGGTCTAAACATGTTTAGAATAGTATGACATAAACCTTTAGCATAATTGCCAAATAAGACAGTTGGAATCCATACCCATGTTTAAAGCAATTTTTGTTTTGTTTTGTTTTTCTCAAAAGGCTGCTATCCAATAATGGAGGACAATACACCATTTGTGTTTTCCTAAACAAATTCTGGTTTTCTTTTTTCATGTTTTGTTGTTTAGTTTGGTCCTACCTAAATTTAATGAACTAGGTAAAAGGCTGAATCAAGGATGTTTTATCCTCTGGTATCATGTGTAGATATTATGTATAGAAAATAAAATAAAATATGGATCTAATTTCTGTGTTGCTGTTTATCTTGTTATTTTTCGACGTTAACCTAATGTGTTTACAGAATGCATTTTATCTTCCACATTCATCATGGCTAACTTTTAGTCTGTATTTTGGATATTAGATGTGAATATTTCTTCTTAGTCTGCTTTCTGCTATGCAAAGACTGCATTTATTTCATCCTTTAGTTTGTTAGTTTATATGGATAGTATTTAGTTCTATAAATTGATTGCACAGTTTATCAAAGACAAATTATTCTATGTAGCTTTTCTACAGTGCTTTGCTAAACCATGTGATACTAGATACGTCTTCCTTAAGAATAAAGATACTCTTATAGAGGACAGTTCCTGTTTACTCCCAGGAATTTTTTTAAAAAAAAGATGACACTGAATGTTTATTGCACCTTAGTGCAGTGAAGTGGCAATAAAATCAAATATGAATCGAGGTTGTTTGTGACAGTTGCATGTTTGCTTTACAGAGTTTAGCAAAAGCTCTTAATTTTATGTTACATTGTATTCTATTATAATAATAAAGCTAACATTATTCAATAACAAAGTGAGATGTTTGATTTTTTTCATATATATATAGGACCTGCTTTTAAAAGAAATTCAGGTTAGTTATATTTTTAAATCCCAGATGGTGCTAGAGAAAATCTAAGTGTTCAGAATATTTTGATGCTGAACTTAATCATTATTTTTAAATAATCACTTAAGAAATAAGAATTTGTTAAACACCATGCATTCGGTTTACTGATAGAATTTAAACTCAAAATTCATTAAGTAGTAGGGAAAAAATCAGAATCTAGATGCTAAAATAATGGCTGAGAGTTTGTATTCCTGCTATTAATACATTATCCATTTGTTAACTGATCTATCCTTAGATTGTTGCTTTTAGGTGCCATTGAGATGGTATCAACTCATAGCAACCCTATGCACAACAGAACGAAACACTGCCCAGTCCTGGGACAACCTCACAGTTGTTGCCACGCTTAAGCCCATTGATGCTGCCATTTTGCCAATCCATCTTGTTGGGTGTCTTCCTCTTTTTCTCTGACCCCCCGCCCCACCTTACCAAACATGATATCCGTCTCCAATGACTGGTCCCTCCTGACAATATGTATGAAGTGTGAAAGACAAAGTTTGGCCATCCTGGCCTCCAAGGAGCACTCTGGCTATACTTCTTCCAATACAGAACTGTTTGTTCTTTTGGCAGCCCATGGCACTTTCAATATTCTCCTCCAGCATCATAACTCAAATGCATCAATTCTTCTATGGTCTTCTTTACTCACTGTGCATTGTTCGCATGGATATGAGGTTATTGAAAATACCATGGCTTGTGTCAGGCATACCTTAATCCTTTGCTCTTCAACACTTTAAAAAAGGTCTTGAGCAGCAGATTTGCCTAATGTAATACATCATTTGATTTCTTGACGGCTGCTTCCTTGAGTGTTGATGGTTTATTAAAGAAAAATGAAGTCTTTGGCAACTTCAATCTTAGATATTCAGATTTAATTATTCTGAAGATGGAGTCTGAACTTTTTTTCATTTTCAGAGCTCCTCATATGAATCTAAAATGTAGACAAGGATGAAAGTCACTGTACTATATTGTTAATATTTAGATATTTTTATTACATCCCTTTATGTTTCTTTACTCTGATCAAAGTGTACAATTTGTATAATCATTGTCAAAGCAATGGAGAAAATAATCTAGTGATTAGCAAAAGATAAGCATGGTATGCTTCTACAGACAAGAATTCCTGAGGAAGAATTTTTCTGTATCGTACGGTGGCATGGCAGAAGATACAAATTAAAATTGCACATACAAAATTACTGAAACTTTTCATTCACTGGTTTTTCAGGTTTTGGAAAAATAAATATAATGAATGATGATTATTTTGGCTGCTAAATTGTATACATGTCAGGGAACTCCATAATAACACACAAGAATTTAAAAATTAAAAAAAGAGAAAATGAATGGGAATGACATTGTTATTAGCCAACTACACTCTGGTAGTATAGTGGTAACGAATCGGGCTGCGAACCGCAAGGTCAGCAGTTCGAAACTACCAGCTGTTCCGTGTGAGAAAGATGAGGCTTTCTGCTCGCGGAAAGATTTCCAGTCTCGGAAACCTGTACGGGGTCACTATGAGTCGGAACTGACTCTGCGGTACTTAACAACAAGAAAATTTTACTTTATTTCATTTTAATTTTATTAGTTGTAGCTTTCTGATGAAGCTTTCTCAAATCCATCCAGGTGTTGGGATCAAGAACAAAATGCACCCTTTGATTATATTATAGCTCAAATTATGTCAAATAAATTAACCTCAGTTGTTTATTTGATTTAATTTAACTGAATTCTACCAACATTTTCTGAGCCTAGACCCTGTATTAAGTACTGTCCTAGACTGTAGAATGTAAAGGTAAATATTTCCTGGTCTCTTTGCCTTAGGATCATAGTTATGGTAAGGAAGGAAGACAAAGAATTAGTCAAGGTTAATAACACTCAGATACATGGCATGATAAGATAATAGGATGCTAAGAGACAGAAAAAAGATCACCTTGCCATTCCTCAAAAACTTTGTAGTTGTTGTTATTTTTAGGTACCCTAGGGTTGATTCCAACTCGTAGAAACCCTGGGAACAACAGAATGAAACACTGATCATTCCTGTGCCATCCCCACAGTTTTTGTTATGTTTGACCCCATTGTTGCTGCCTCTGGGTCAACTCATCTCATTTGGGGTCTTCCTAGTTTTTGCTCCACTATACCAAGCATGATGCCCTTTTCCAAGGATTGATTCTTTCTGACAACATGTTCAAAAATCTAGGGACAAAGTTTCACAATCCTTGCTTCTAATGGTCATTCTGGATGTACTTCTTCCAAGATAGATTTGCTGGTTCTTCTGGAAGTCCTTGGTATTTACAATATTCTTCACCAATATCATAATTCAAATACATCTATTCATCTAAGTTGTTCCTTATTCATTGTCTGACGTTCACATGCATATCAGGCAATTGATAATACCACGGCTTAGGTCAGGTGCACCTTGGTCCTCAAAGTGACATCTTTGCTCTTTAACATTTTCACAAGGTCTTTTGCAGCAGACATACCTAATATAATACAATGTTTGATTTCTTAACAGTTGTTTTCATGAGTGGTGATAGT